TCTCTCTCTCTCTCTCTCTGTGTTATTTAATTTCATACTTGCGACTTAATTTTTAACACTGCCGGCATATTGTCGATACTTCACACGCATGGTGTCTATACGTTTCACGGCACGTACAATACATATACTTAAACACACAAACAAACGAAATAATAAAGCTTACGCGCATGCAAACACGATCTTTTATTACACACACACGCGCTCACATGCAGGATGAGTCACCGAGAGTTGGAACCTATCATCGTTGCTCTTAACGGCACAAGAAAATATGGAATATTCGTTTCAAAGGGTCAAATGTTATGACAAGGTGTTTTTGTTCAAGGTCGCATTTTCCGAGATATCAAGATCATTCGAATTTTTTTAAGCGGAGTGCCATATTTTCATTAATGTAATATTATAGTCGATAAAACAAACTTTGTTCATGTTTAATACGTTGGTCTTCAAATAACCTTCTGTGAACTCGTTACTTGATTCGACATTTCAATGTTGTTAGATTATTGCTTTTCATAAGAATTTCTTCGCAGAAGGTTATCTGATGATCAACATATTATAAATTTGTTTTTCTATAAGTTACAATATCGCAGTAATGTACATATAGATATTACTACATTTAAAAAAATGTAGATGACCTTAAAGAAACTTTACTACTTTATCACAGCACTTGTTATTTTGAAACGAATACTTCCTTTTTATACATTTTCATATGCCGCTAAAATCAACGGAGACAATTTTGGTTCTAATCTCGGGCGACACACCCAGTGTGTGTATATACAGGCTACGCTTGGGAGAAAATTCAGGAGATGATTCTAGAAGCTGATATAAGACGAAAATCAAGAATTAAAAAATTGTGTTCGAGATTTCGTTTTTTATTTGTTAACGTTTAAAAATACCACCGTAGCCGAAAAAAACCTCCCTACACCAACGAGTATAGGACACGTCAAGGCACGAAGGTACAGTGATCCTCAAAACCAAGTACATATGTACTGCAAGTCGTAGAGAAGAAAGCAGTGCCATTCGGCGGCGTAGCATTACTAGCTTCTGCGGCACTACGTTTGCTTCATCACGACACAGGTGTATGTCGGTAGGTTCTCCAAATGTGTAATTCCATTGTATACTGTAATACAACAAACAGCGTACCTACACTATGCACACAACTCGGACAATACACGCAAGTCATTGTGCACTGCAATACTTATGTACATACACACGCGCACGCACGTAATAAAAACTAAAACAAGACGAAAAAAACTAAACACCCTACGGGAAAATAGATTATATCTATATTAAAACTGCACTAAAATGTAAGAAATGAAAGTTAATTAATTTATTAACTTATTTATTAACTTTATAGTTATAAAGTAATGTGTAACTAAAAGAAGGAGATTAAAGTTCGCAGTGTACACAATGTACCAATGTACGTGTAAGAAGAATAAAATGCAGGCGCTTAAAATAGACGGTTAAAATAACGGGGTAGTTCGCTCGCTGGTGACTATTTGCAATATTGTGAGGGCCGCTGCCTCTTTCCCCGTTTTTATATGTTTTGTCGGCTGTTGGGACCGTGCAAGCCTTGTCTAAGGCCCCCTGCGGCTTGGGTCTCGCGGTCGTTGCCTAGGCGCGTCACACAGCGCCTTACGCTACGTATAGTTTGCTTCGATGTTTAACGATTTAAAATTTGATACGACAGAAACATTTGTACAACGATAGCGAAACTTGAACAGCTACTCGACTCGATAAGCGAACATAGCAATTATTTAAATTTCTTTTTTAGTTATACAATACTTTATATTTACAAAGTACTAAGTTAATTAGTTTTAGTTTGATGTAATCAGTTAAATTTAATTTATTACATTTTACCGTAGTTGCAATATAGGTTTAATTTATTTTTCTTTAGTTTCTTTTAGTTTTCATTTCGTACGTGCGCGTATGTATATGAATATTGTAATGTACAGTGATTGTTTCTCTGAGATTTGTGTGTTTTACATAGTACATAGTGTACGTTACATTTGTTATTTATATTATGGTATACGATTGAATACACATTTGAAGAATTTTTCGGCATGTGTTTGTGTGGTGGTGAAGCAAACGGTAGTGCACAGAAATCGGTAATGTCGTTTACGGCGCTGTGTTTATATATTATAGATTTTGAGGATCACTGTATCCCTTGTATCTTGATGTGCTATACATTCATTGGTGTAGGGAGATTTGCTCGGCCACAGAGGTATATTTAAATGTTAACGATTGAAAAACGAAGCCTCAATCCTAATTTTATTATTCTTCATTTTCGTTTTATTTTGGATTCTAGAATCACTTCTTAAAATTTTTTCCAGGAGTGGTCTAACATCCTGTGTACACATGGTGTTCACACTAATAGTTTTTAATGTTTTTTTCATAAATGGTAGATTTGTGAGAAAATTAAAAGCGGAGAAATTTTCACTACTTTCTGATACGCAATATGATGGCTTGAACAGATTTTTTAAATTTGCAATGGATTTGATCTTTTATATTATACGAAAGCAGCTCTCGAGTCAAGTTCAATGACCTACGACACAATAATGTTCAAGGTCATTGAAATGCAAAAATGAAGAAAATATTTTAGAAATTTTGTAACACTACATTTACTACCAATTTCATTACATTTTGCAAAAAGCACAAAAATGTAGTTCAGAGGGCGGAAATATGTATTCTACAAAACGGGAATCATATTGAACCTTATTCACTAAAAGCTACATATATATGAGAGAGAGGGAGGGGGGAGGGTAGGAAGAGAGGGAAGAGAGAAAGAGAGAGTGAGAGAGTGAAAGAGAAGGGGAGAGAGAGAGAGCGAAAAGAAGCACGACCGTACTTGTGTCGAACGAACAAAATTGTTCGAGCCTCGATGTCCCTGTGTAATAAGTTGCTCGTCAAAGAACGGGGAACATATTATTATTACTAGATCGTAGCTGAACATCATTGCTATGAATTGTATTTGTATTTTGTTTGTTTCTTAAAACCGTAATGCGCGCATACACACACGCACACACTCACATTATTACCTATAGGCACACATGAAACACTAGTAGGGAGCAAAGAGAATGATTTACAGCGTACACATACGATTCGATAGCCAAAAGCAATCAGTTGCACGTTGACTGGCGCGATCTTTCATAATCTTCTGTTTAAACTTTCTGTTTCATGCTTGCCCTCGCCTGGATTTCCACCGCACGTCTTTCGACCGAAAATTACCACGCATACAATTGTTTGATCTCCGTCCCTGTCAACGCTTTCATTCCGGTTCCATCGACGATTACGATTCCGATTCTCTCTCTACCAACGTCCGCCGCAACCGCACTACGGCCCTCCACGCACGTACCCGAATCGTCCTCTCCCTGGTCCCGAAATTGATCCTGAAACGCCGCACGTGCCTGAATTATCCATCTGTTCACGGAATCTGCGACGACTGCTGCGAAATCCAATCCCGCTCCTTCTTCGATTAATTACATTCATGTGGCGATTGTGACCATTTCCCGATCCGTGCGCTGGGGACGAACCTACACGTCCACAACTAACCATACGCTTTGCCAACACCTCCCACCCTTCCATTCTTTTTCTCCTTTTTCTTCCTTTCTCCTCTTTTTCTCCCACGTTTTTCTCTGACGGGGTTGTTCATCCTGTTTCTTCCCTCCTCTTCTCGGATCCCTTTTCGATCCTCCGTGAACTTTACACATGACCTACACATGATTATTTCATCTCTCTGTGTCGCAACACGCGCTCGCTTCAACATCACGACCGATAAAAATCAAACACGTACGATTTTGGTTTCGGTCGACGTACGAATTTCGGTGATGGGCCGTAATCGACTATTTTTTTTTCGTTCCGCTTCCGGTCATTCCTCTTCTATTCCTCTTGCATATATACGCGAATCCCTTTTTCTCGATCGTCGAGATGCGTTTGCGCGCGGTCGTTACACAACCATACATGTGACATACATGCATACATATATACATATATACATATATACATATATATATATATATGTATATTTGGATATTTGAACGTTGCCTTGGTATGTGTGCACTGCCGTTGCATTACCTCTGTCATGTCCGCCCATCACCCGTGAAACAACCACGACAACGACGATCGCATTTTACCGTGTAATTTACAACGAATCTGAATCTATATTCATACGCGCGCGCGCGCGCGTGTGTATGTATGTGTGTGCGTGCGTGCGTGCGTGCGTGTATGTTCGCACGATACGTTCGTACACCCTGGTACATGCATTCATTCTTCGTCATGAACGGAACATCAAAAAATAAATAAATAAAATACACACGCGAATCATTTCATGCTCGTGAACGCGCGATAATTCTCGAAACCGCATACCACGTCGGCGACAACATACGAATAACGCGCGTATCACACACATTTCATCATCCACGATGATCACACTATTATTCTGTTGCAAACCGTCGTCCCCTTGGCCGTTTCCCGCCATCCACATCGACCATTTTTTCGACCACGCACTGATCGGAAAATAAACGGAATAATGTAACCGTTGCAACCATGTCAACCGCTGGAAAAAATTTGCTAAAAAACGAAAAAAAATGAACAACTATCTCTCTCTTTCTCCACATTCCTCTTTTTTCGGTGGACATCTTTCAACGAACGATGCGACGACTAATACAACGATTAAAAAAAAAAAAAAAATACCTACCCTGAACCAAAAAAAAAAAAAAATACCAACAACTACTACCACCTACAACATACTCGAATTCTTTTTTTCCGTGTAACATGTACCTGGGTGCTCCGAGGGCACGTTTGACGTGCTTCACTTTGATTTTGGTGCCTTCTCCACTGAATTCGACCGACTGGTAATGAAATGACCACGAATAAACCAAATCAAACAAAAAAAAAAAAAAAATGATATAAAAAAATAATAACAATAAAAATTACTGCTACCAAATACTTCGAAAAAATATATATGTAATAATAAAAACGGTACCGAACACTGCCTCGTTTGCTGCATGTGGATCGCCTTAGCAGCCTTAGCCACTGTCGGGGCCCAAGTGGTCCCCCAAAACGCTCACTGTGTCGTCTACACAGACAGCTGCGGACAGGTAGACTCATTATTGTAACCAGTTTTTTACCCAGTCTCGGGTCTGCATTAGAAGCGCCAGACGCTGATTGAACAGGTGAAACATGTTTTCGAGATGCATGCGTGGTAATATGCCTGTGTTACCTCTCATTTACTTTGTTCTGTTTATTTTTTGGTATTTTTTTTTTTTTTTTTTTTTAATTCGATCCTGTCCCTTTGGACTAGCACAGGACACATTATTAGCCGTGTGGTGTTTTGTGGTGTAACGGAAGGCGCGACGTGACGGGAAGATTTCTCGGGTGTCAACGACACTCCGACGGAACCTCAATGAACTCCCGTCAACGGCCTCGTAACTAAAAAAGAGATCGTTTAATTCTTACAAAATTGTCATGGTGCTTTAATGCAAGCCCGAACTTTTAATGCTGCTAACCTTCAAGGTTAACAGAGGGAAGGGACACGTTTGGTCGCTTCGGAATCTCGACGTTTGCATTTTATAGAATGAAATCGTTCGTTATCTTTTCTGATTTTTGAACAAGAAGAGGAGCGATCGAACGTGATGCCTGAACCTTCGGTAACTTTGGCTAACACGTAGCTTTTGGGGGTATCTCCCTCATGACTGCTCACCGCAACTATAACTGCGAATAACCACTGCCTTATCTGGTGTTTGTCTATTATTATTATTACATCGATAATTATTATCATTATTATTATTATTATTATTATTATGCTATTTCGAAAGCGTTGTCGTCACTCCTACAAAAAACCTACTCACGAAGAAAGAGATGCACGCTTCTTATTCAGTAATTTGTACAACCTTGTCATTAAACGGTTTGCCATAATATATTCATTTTTGTTCTTAAACGTACTTATTATTATATCTATCATGCCATTGTCTTGATTACGCTTCTTTTATTAACGTTGCGCGTTAATTGTGAATCTTATTGTCCGGATACATTTAGTGCAGCCGCATCTAAAAAGTATATCCCTGTTCCATAGAGTGCTTCGAGATAAGTGGTGCTTGAACGAATGTTTCGACTAATGTTGTTCTGGAGTAAAAGTAAAGAAAAATTTTGTATCATTTTTCATGTAGAACATAGTAGAAGATGGTCACCTTGTTTGTCCTTTCTGAATGTGATTTCAAGATTCGTATAATTTTTTATATACCATGGTATATATTTTATTCATGTTTCGCATAACAATCTAAAACCTACTAATTATATTTACGAGATAAGATATAAAATAAATAAGGAGAATTAATAATCTGACTAACAATATTATGAAATCTAATGTTATCCAATTAACTTCTTTACTGCGAAAAATCAAACTTATACTATGCTTAGAATAAGAAAATCTTGCTTTTTTATAAAACCAGGTGAATCTTATTTTTAGATAACTTAATTTGTGATACTGCTTCTCGTGCAGTTCAATCTAGCGTTGTTAATTATGAAAATAAATTCACATTTCTTCGTCAACCGGAACATAACATTCTGTTTAGAAGAAAGTAAATTGATCTTGAAACCCCTTTTTGAAAAGAAAAGAAGGATGTTATCATTTTTATATTATCAAATCCTACGTGAAAAATAACAAAATATTTTTCTTGCCCATTGTCTCATATCATTAGTTTAGAAATAATTTCGAACAACGTATACCTTGAATCACCCTGTGTAAATTGTTTTCTTTACCCTAAAACGCTTTAATACTGAAATTAATTTATCTCCCTCCCCCTTTTCTGTACATTTACTGTTTTTTTTATTGTTTTTAATCACACTAGAGGAATTTTTTACGGTTATGGGCCGTTGTTACGTAATGTCCGAACATGTACTGCATGTATACATTGCATTAATATTAATAGTCCCTGTATTAGCATCGCGTTGATCTCGCTTCGAATTCCATCGAGTCACTTCGAAACTCGTGAGCCTGTCATTTATGGTAAACATAGGGTTTGACAGAATTGATTTTGCTATCAATGAAAATGATAGTGTTTCGTCCAAAAAGAAGTCGAAAATGCATAACAAAATGTCCTCGTACAAAACTTCGTTCCCAAGAAAATGAATTTTCAACATAATTATGTTCAAGTTTATCAAATCATTTTTATTAATAACTGAATGCAAAATAATACATGTTTGTCATAATTTGTCTCGTATTATTACTAGAGAAATTATTAATTTATCGAATTATAAATGCTGATGTGTCCCCAACTTTTGAGTTTGTTCGTTTCTTTTAATAATTGAATTGCATTTTCTTTTGTCTCAACTGTATTGAAATGCAAGTCTACAAATTAAACTTATTCTAATTTTTGTGATACTGCAATGATATTCAATGACACAAACAACAATTCTAGTAATGAATGTGTGTAGGCATTATATACAAGAATAATAACTACCTTGAAGAATCGTGTATCAAATCTGAAATTTAGCAATGTGAATATATATATACATACATATAGTGAACTTTTAAAATTGATTCCTTCTAAGGTCAAGTTTTGTAGGAGGAAATTGCATTCTAAGTATTTGGTAATTGTTTCTTTCGCCAAAGCTGTCACATCCTACAGCATTCTGCCTCCTAAAGGCGTCAAGTTAAACTCTACAAAAAAAACGACAATGGCGTGATTTTTTAAGTTCAACGGTACAAAATACGCTTAGTCCCCGTTTATACAAAAATAAACGAAAAAAAAAAAAAAGAAACGTTTCTCCGATTGTAATAGCTTTTGTCAATTTCCGAGACGAGTCCCCACGTAACGTGCAACACTTTTTTCCTGCTCTCTGGACGCTCTCCAAATCATTCTAATTTACCGCTGTCGCCAATTGAAAACATGAAACAATCCTGTTGCTTGCATAGAGAGCTTCTGACGCAATACGTAACTGAGAAACGAGAACTAAAAATCGAACACGGGACCAAGAGTCAAGAACACACGCCCGCGGGTCTCTTGCTGTAGCGTAACTCCTTGTTTTATTTAACAAATAACAAAACGCACGGAACACATTGACAATGTTTTCTATCAAAATAAAAAAGAGAAGAAAAGGAAAAGAACGACGCGCTAAGATCCAGGCGTGGATCGTCCGCCATTTTGTTATAGTGTCTTTTATGATCTCTCTCTTCGAACCGGATAAACATATACAACTTTCAATTAGTATTTGCTCTTTTTAATGTTAATCATTTGTTGTTTTTTCTACGTTTGAGTTTTGTTCGTGAGCATAATAAGCTCTGTTGTTATGGTTGCGGAGTCGCAGTTGACCTAGTGTTGAACTTATTTGCAGTAGAATATTATTAATTTGACAGCTTTTACGACATCCCATCTCCATATTTTTATACGAATGCCAATAACCGCTGACTTTGTCCAGCCACCAACGGGCGGTTTGGTTCGCTGGCGTGGATATCTCGCCTACGTGGATATCTTGTTACCTATTTCTGTCTCTCCTCGATTTATCTATCTATCTATCTATCTATCTATCTATCTATCTATCTATTTATTTATTTATCTATATCTCTTATTTCCATAGCTTTAGTAGTGAGTGGATGTGTGTGTCTAAGTCTTGTAATTCACGCACGCGAACCAAAAACCCCTTCGGCGGTCCTCTGAAGTCGGCTTTTGGCAGCACACGAATTGCTTGGGTGATGAGGAGGGGCTCCATTGTTTCTGCGCGTTCCTCCTCCCCTTGTTCGAACGAAAGTTCTTTCCACATAACACAGACTTATTACATATTGTTTTTAGTCATTAGTCGATCGTCCTTGCGAATTCCGCGTGAGGGGGGGGTTTCTTTCTTCTTCCTTTTTTTTTTCATCTTCGTTCGTTCGTTTTTTTTTTTCTTTTTTTTTGGCAGTGATTCTCTCTGCTTGACCAGAGGGGAAACACAATTAACACGCAAAGGGGACACGACCTTTACGATAGAAATCGGGCGTCGAATCTAACGATCACCCAAGCAGAACGAACCAACCCCCCTTCTCCCGGGCCATTATTTGCATGACCAGACTCTGTGTTTGTAGCAAATTATTTCTTACGCAGTTGCAAAAGTTACTACATACTTATTATTCTTATATTCTTACCGTTACTATTCTGATTATGACGATTAGTCTCATTATTCTGTATCTGTATCATTATTCGCTGTTATTTATTTTGATTCTCGCCGCGAAAGTTGTTTGTTCACGGTATACTCTGTTTTTTTTTTTTGTTTCTATTCTCTGCTGCTATTTCTAATTGGTTGTTGCGTAACACACGAAAGAAAACTCGATCGGTGATTGCTTCACAAAAGAGAGAGAAATGGTTTGATTCTAATTCTAATTTCCTTTCATTTCCTTTTGTTTTTTTATTTACGTAAATTATTTGTTCTTTTTTTTTTTTTTCTTTTTTTCGTCGTACGTACATTTTGCACGCTTCTATGGTGAGCCTATGGTACCTTTACTTTTTGCCCGAGACGATTACACTTTTTTGATTCTTTGTATCATCACCGATACGTACACGGTAATATCATGGTTGTCTGTTTTTATCATTGTTCTTCTTTGTTTTTCTATTTTGTTTTTCTTTTTTTCTTTTGGGTAATACTTTCTTCTCGTTTTGTTCGTTTTTAATATCTCTTTTAATACTCTGTCTGGTAGGTTGTTAACCGCTTCTGACCTAACGTTTTTTGCTAACACCAATACCAGTTCTCTGGAATTTGATGTTTTATCTATTTTTTGCTGCATCTGTCTATATTCATATATTCTCTCGGGCATACGTACATACACGCATATATATATATATACACACACACACACACACACACACGCCGATAATCTTTCCTCTAGATACGAGTGTACGTGTGTGTTTCTGTGTGTGTGTACATATAATATGCATGCATCTTTCGTTCGGAGGTATATAAAAGGAACGGACGTAGTAGTATAGCTGGGCGGAGATTTTTCACTTCAACTTGAACCTTTATTCTATATTACCATTCGAATGTTTCTTCATTTCTTTCTATTTTTTTCAATATTTCAGTTGTAGATTTCGACATTTTGGAACTGACAGTTTTGTGTGCCTTTTTCTTGCGTCTTTTTTTTTTTTTAATGTTTATATTCAATGAAATATTTCTGGAGAAATTCATCGTTTCCAAAGATCACGTCTATAATTTACCGAGAGGCTCGTAGAAAGCAACTGAAGTTATCGAGAAAGGAAAGTTTAACAAACGAAAAATCGAAGACTGATTTCCTAGATGATCCTGAAAAGTGAAAGATACATTCGTATGCTCATACATATATTCCTTAGCTGCGTCCATATTATATATATATACATGCACAACAGTCTACGTATTACGATTATTATTTCTCATCTTGCTGCAGTCAGATTTTTATGTTTAAGTCACTGTTTAGCACCCCGTTTCCTATTCAAGAAAGTGAAAAACAGCGGAAACAGCTTAGATAAGCCACGATCGTTGCTTTCCTGTATTCCACACACAGATTTAGTTAACACTAAAAGTTCAGTCTAGTCGTTGTGCTGAATGGCCCGCTGAGAAGAGGGCTTCCACACCTGATTCGCAAATTCTACGAAATTTTCTAGTATACAGAAAACAAAAATGGATCGATACGTTGAATTTTCTTTCAAATTTAATCTATTGAATTTCATCTCAGTTTCACTACGCTAGCAATATTACATTTGAATGGAATACTGTATTTGGAAAATTTGCGAATCAAACGATCCTTGTTTATAGGCACGCTCCTTGCACGCAAAGTGTTGGGAACGCTGACAAAAAAAATAATCGAAAGAACGAAAAAAAAAAAGAAAAAAAAAATAGGAAAGATGGCAAAGAGCAAAGTATTCAAAATTACGATAGTTACAGACTCACGCGTGAAATCACGTTCACGCAGAAAGTGAAACGAGTCCTTTGTTTACGCCCATTCGAATCTCGCCATTTCTTTCGATGCACGTGTATCGTGTCGTGTCGTGTCGTATCGTATGAACGATCACGGTGGAAGTAAGCTAATGACTTACTTGACGCCAAATACCGAGTGACAAAAAAGAAATAACGATCAATTTTAGATTACAATGTGTCTCGACTCATGATATAGAGAATAGGGAATGACCAATTTGATAAAGAAAAGTTCTACTGCAAATTTTCCTCTTAATTCGACCTGTGCGAACAATCGACGTGGTGAATCGATATCGCTGAAACGACAAATCATAAGAAGAAGAGAATTATCGAAATTACAGCACGATTTATTGTATTCAGTCGATTGTTCGCGCATCAGTAGCAATTAATCGTATACGATCCGATTTTTTAGAGCATGTAATGTACCGTGAATATGCTCTAACACTGAACTGGGTTTGAATGTGCGTGTCTAATGATTTTTCAAAGTACACGTGTGCGTGACTGTGGGAGAAAGACAGACACTTGTCTTCGCTTGGTGTGGACAAAAGCGCGAATGCGTGCGTGCCTGTGGCCGTGAGAGGCGTATGAGACAGTGTGAGAGTTGTTTTTTTTTCCTCCTTTTCCTTGTAACTATTGTTCGCGAGCACCTCAAGAGTACCCGTTATAAAAGTACCTGGCACATTTTCTTTCAGTTACTGGACACCCTCCCGGTGTGCCAAGATTTTAATCGTCAAGTGTGCAACCGTCCCGCCTGCAAGTTTATCCATCTCAGTGACGGTAAGTTTCCAAGACGCGGCGCGCCAATTGTCCGACTGTTTTCCTTAAGGGAATCGCTTCGAGTTCGCTGAAATCGAACCTTATTATTTTCTTCATGACACTTCCGTGTCAGTCCTCCGGCCGACTGTTTTACTTATTTTTTGCTTTTTTTTCTTCCATTATGCTTTGCAATTAATTGAAATTGTTCTGAGACTGTGTTCTTTTTAGCGGTACAAGGTGGTGAGTATAGTATCACAAGTTCTTATTATTCGTTACTAGTAAAATTAAGTGGCGTTGGAAGAAACATCTGCTACGCAAGCTGTCATACTGGTATAATGAGAATTCGTAACGGTTTCATGCGACTTTTTGTACTTGATAGTTTCAACAAAGTTTCGAAAAAGATAACTTACGTCTCATGTGCAAACCTTTATTATTTTTTTAAACACTTATAAGAATACCTCGATGAACATTGTATTGTGTTAACGCTAAAACTACCGACTGGGTCAAAATGACCCATTAGCGACTTTCCAAAAGTGAATTTTTATGTAAGTAAACCGTGATTGGAAAATTCGATTCATACCGATACAAATGGAAGCATACATGTAGAATATAAATTCGGAAAGTTGCAAGCGATAATACCAGTATAGAGCATTCACGTTTTTTCGAAAGATGCTAATGGGTCATTTTGACCCGGTCGGTAGTTTTAGTGCTAAGAAAAAAATGGTATACAGGTAACTCCCATATAACACGGCACTTTTATAACACGGTTCGAGAATATTTCATTTGAAATTAGTATTATTCAACCTTTTTTAAAGAAATGATAATTATGTTTTTCATTTTTGTGAATTAATTTGCAGCCGTGAACTATGTCTAGCGGAAATAGAAAAGTACATATTATTTTTATTTAATACATATTAATATGTTATACTTTTGGTGAAAATTGCTTTAATAAAAATATTTCTCTTAGTTATAACGATATTATAGTATGTTTTTTTATCGAGGGTTATCTGTATTTTAGAATGTTAAAGGAGAAAAGGAATCGACCGTTTAATTAATTAAATTGAATTTGGAATTTTAAATCAGTTAAATAAATGTATAGATGATATTAGTACTAATTTGTCCGTTAATTTCGTTAGCATATAAAAATCTGTTAAATTAAACACAATTGTTCTTATTGTTCAAAGTCATTTTTCTTGGTAAAATTTAATAAAAGCTTTACGGTTAATAATGTACGACATTCAGTTTTATTTTTTAAATGTTATCTTTAAAATTATTCTATTTTTAAGAAATTAATATTTCAATATATTCTCTAGTTGCGAAATTCGTACTGTTCAAATTTAGTAATGTGCATAATACAAAGTAATGAAAATAGAAAAAAAATACGAACATTAGGTATAAAATTGAAGGAAACAGAAAGAAACTGCTGTTGCTAATATATGAATTTCTAGTATTTTCTTTGCAATATTTCACTTATAAAATATGGTTTTATTATGAGCAAAAATTAGAGCAAAAAATATTTCACTTAATGGCAATACAGTAAATTCTCTACAAGAGTCAGTAAGTTTGGATTCTACAAGTGACAGTATAGATGGTCCTACGCCTAGGTCTGCGTCATTGCTGCGCCCATGTTATCTCGCTCGCAGTCAGTCAAGCGTGTAACGCTATACCAGTCGGTTTCCTTTACGAGATTACACGGCTCGACAAATATAATTTCTTTTTTATTATTGAATATTTTTACGCGTTTAACTTATGCTTCTCCCCAATTCTCGTCGCGTATTTTATTCAAATTTTCTTATATTCTAGAATCGAAAAAGATACGAATTCGCGTTTTTTCTTTTGATTCTTTCAATTTTTCAATTGCATTACGCATTATTGCAATAATTTCTATCGTTACATTTAATTCTAATTGTTTAGCAGCTTTTCTGCTGCTATCGACCCTACATTTTACTGACACTTGTGGAATCGACCCTACATTTTTTTTTTTTTACGTGGAGGTAGGCCGACTCTATGTGATAAACAATTGGCAACCAAACGGTAGCTCTCCCTCTACATTCGACGGATAATGTGTAATTTGTTTTTGTAATTCATCCAACGCGATATATTATGAAATTAAATTAATCACTCAATAAGTTTTAACGTTAGATTGTTTCCTCGATATGGCCATGGTGGTCAAATGGAGTGCCTCAAATGTTTAGAATAATTAAAATAAAATAAATGTTGTCAACTAAAAATTTTGAACGTCATAGCTAGCTAGACATTATTTTCAATTGAAAAAAAAAAGTTATAAAGCATAATACTATAATCCTATGCTTAAAATGTATTTTCTTGTGGCCGCCTGACAGCAACCTGTAAATCTGGCGTGACAGTGAACGTGTTAATAAGTAAATGTTCAAATTATATCGTGTTTGATATCATTTTCATCAGAAAAATCTCATCAACATGTTAAGAAAAATTTCGGGATAAAAAACGTAAAATTAAAAAAGTTGATATTTAAATCGCTTGGTTGCCTCGACTCACGTTTCATGCTTATCTTTTATTCACTGTCCTTGTCTACGTTCGGCAAACTACAAAGGCGAAAACGTAGTCCCTGACTCTGCAAGTGTCAGGTTTAGCTTCCTTGCGGTCTGACACTTGTGGAGACATTTGTAAAACGTAGTCCCTGACTCTGCGAGTGTCAGGTTTAGCTTCCTTGCGGTCTGACACTTGTGGAGACACTTGTTAGCTCACCTACGAGAATTTCCTTTTTCCTTCGTTAAATGAAAGATTATAAGAATTATTAACGTTCACATATTCTAGAGTATTTGAATGAATCGAAGTAATATTCCTATTTTCAGTTTTCATTATAAGCTTGACGTAAAGAATATTCATAATGTTTAATACTTTGAGTAATGATAATATCGTTCGACAATTCCTTACACCTAAACATTTGGATTATAAAAATTAAATCATAAAAATAAAGGAATATTCTGTATTATTTATTGTATTACAGTTAGACTTACAATCTTATTTTAGAATGAGTAAACATTTGATAAAATCATTTGTAATTATATATTTCATTTCATGATTTTAAATCAACTCGAACGAAAGGTGAGAAAAAAAACATGTCCCTTAACTAGTATAACTTTTTATTCTGACAATGTATAAAATGATACCGTTGATAATTATCTTTTACGTACTCCTCAGATACATATAAATTACAATGTCTAGTCAGAGCATTTATACTATGCAGTCATTTTGCAGTTTACGACCACGTTTTTACCACAAAACAATTATGTTCGTAATATGCGGCGGATGACATATCTATTGGTCACCCCTGTTTCGTATTGCACGCAACTTCGTTAAGGTTATAAATTATTCGATTAGTCATGATGGATAAAGATGAGCGGTTATTTTTAACCGATTCAATGGATTACTAAAATTTCTATGAGGTACGTAACTGGAGGTGCGACCATGAAGAGAGTGATTCTACATGAAAAAAGAAACTGAAAATATACATTACAATTTTTTCATAAATGGCTTATTTTTTTGAGAAAATTGAATTTAAATATTTGTTACAAACTGTTGTTTCCGGTCATACTCCGGTCACATTTCGCAAAGAAATAATGTACACCACGATTCTTTGATTCAAAGAGCAAAAATTTGTATGTGTTAATAAGGACGTCACTTTCAACAATTCGTTCAGTAATATAAAATTCAAAATTAGGGAAATCATTCACAAACGTATTATCGGTACCTATCGTGATATTGGCATCGCTCATTAGTACAAACATAAGACCGAGAGATAGTTAAATGCATGCGCACTTCATGAATATTTAAGTTCAAGTTTCTTAAACACTAAACTTCTTATTAAAAAATTTTATTCTATATTTTCGGTTTATCTTTTCAAGTAGAATCACGGTTGTATCACCAGTTACGGAACACTGTTCAGTCTTTTATGTAAAAAAGTGTTATGCAATTGTTTGAATTTATTTAACGAGCATTTGAAAGTGGATGCCTAACTTTGCAAAAAAAATCTCATCAAGAAAATTCCCATTTTTAATGATAAAATTAATTAATTCCAAAAGCAATAATTCACGCCCCATCGTTGATTATTAAATTTTGTCCAATGCAGAAGAAGTAGGAAAGAATATTATATAATAGTTTTATTTAAACTTCACGGTCAAAAAATTTATTATCATATTATTTTTTCATAGATTTTACTATTTTAAGAGTGGAAAATGTGCAGCTTTGAGTACAAATGTATTAAGTCTATTCATCCGTACGTGTACCTGATAAAGACTATTGTTGTTTGGATTTTAAACATCATAATCTGTCGAGTAATTCAATTCAACGTATTCATTTATACAGTATTCTCTATTATGTTATATTGTAGATGTTCACGGTTTTTTAAAAGTCATTCGTTTATTATATTTCAGTAATGCACACAATGCATATAGATAAATGAAATTTATTGTAACAATTTATAACAAGTATAGTGTTTAATACCTCCACAGAAAATGAAGAAGTATGTACCTACATTTTTTGAAAAGAACTGGTCTCACTAGAAACGAAAAATAAATTAAAAATAAAAGTAACTAGCGTAATTCAAAAAATGATACAACGTATGAATAACGCGTTTTTCGTAACAAATTTATTGTACTTGTTGAAAAAAATGGCGCAAACTATATTCCCACGATATTTCTCTATTTTCTTTTAAAGATGAAATGAAAAAAAATTGCTCAACAATTGTTCCTTCGAGTATTCTGATATATCATTTTTATCAATCGAATATTCGAGTTACTTACCATTCAAATCGTACTCAGCCATATTATAAGGACGTTTTGCGAGCCTTAAAGCACAATGGAAGCGCAGATTTTCAAGACATTCTCGAGTTGTTCCATCAAATCAGTA